TATTGAAAGAGAGCGTGACGAGGGCTCTAGAGCATGACACACAGATCATGTCGTTTGCGAGGTAATTCTCGAGCAGCCTGACGATGAGCTCGATCCCATCCTCGTCGGAGATTTCTTGCCTTCTGATCTCAACCTCGCGCGAGAGCTGCTCGTACTTCTTCATCTCGTCCTTGTTTGCGTTGTTGGGGATCTGCGAGCTGGTGGACAGGCTCCAGAGCGCGAGCACGCACTCGATCTGCAGCTCTGCGTTGTCGGAGAACATCTGGAGCAGAACCATCAGCCAAGTGAACGAAGAAGGGTGAGGAAGGGAGGGATGGAGGAGGAAGAGGAGTGAGGGACGGAAAGAACGGGAGAGGAGTGGGGTAAGAGAGTTGGGGAGAGAGGAGGAGATGGGGAAGAGGGAGACATTGATACAGAAACGGTGGGGGAGGAAGAGAGTGAGGGCGAGGGGACGGGAGTCATGAAGGGGAGAGGATAAGAGGAGTGGGGAGGGGTTGGAAGTTTCCGTTACCCTCATGGCCTTGAGGATTATCTTGATGCCGCTGTGGCTCTGAATGTTGCTCTTGGTCGCGTCGTTGAAGTAGGACATGATGGCCAGGATCGCTACCCCGCACTTCTGGATCCTGAGGTTGGAGAGGTTGTTGGCAAGCGCTCTGATGACGCAGACGATGCCGTCCTGCTGTGCGATCTCCTGCTTGATCTCAGAGTTCCACGCCAGCGGGTGCAAGCAGCTCAGCGACTCGAGCTGGACCTGCTCGTCGGCAGAGTACCTCCTCATGACGTCGAAGATCAGCGAGGAGGCTGAGCCGTTCTTGAGCAGCAGCCGGTGCCCCTGCACCCACGAGAGCTTGCTGACCAGCCTGAGCGCGATAGCAACAAGGTCCCTGACGTCCTTGTGGTATCGGAGGACCGAGAGGACCACTGGGATCACGTCCTCCGCGGGGAACGGCACCGCCGCTGCCTCGCAAGTCTCCTGCATGTCAAGCAGCAGGAGGACCCCCTCCCTCTGCACCAGAGGGGACCGGATGTTGCACGTCATTGCCCTGCTGATCGCCGTCGTTGTGCTCAGGCGGATCGCCCTTGCAGCGTTGACCGTGTGCCCATGGCAGATCACCTGCAGGCACCGAAAGGTCTCGGACGATGCTTCCTCTGAGTTGCAGTATGTGTTGCACCACGAGACAACGTCCACCAACAGCTCTGCCCCCCCCACCTCGCACTGCAAACACGAGCAGTCATTGTGATCGCGCGCGTGCTGGTCACGACTCAGAGTGTCCTCCTCCACCAGCGAGCGGATCAGCCAGGATGCCGTCTCGGCCAGCCCAGGGAGCGAGACTGTGCTGTCTGAAAGCCTGTTCGCCACAACGACCGCCTTGACCTGAACCAGCATGTCTGCGGCGTTGCAGCTCCTGCTCCACCAGCTCCTGAAGTCTTCCAGCTCCTTGAGGTTCTTCAGGATCCTCCAGCAAACCTCCTGGATCTGCGGGTTGGTGTAGAAGGGATCCGATCTCATAACTTGCCCCATCGTCTCAGCGGAGGTCGCCCCACTCCCCTCGATCAGGAGCCTTTTCATCCTCACGTCGCCCTTGGAGACAATCCACAGCGTGGTCAGTGACTTGTTGACAACGACAGGGTTGGAGGTGGAGGACCGGATGACTTCTGTGCAGCTCCTGACGATCCTCGCAACATGTTCGAAGCTCACGTTCCCTCGGAGTATGATCGTGGTCAGGGCCCCGTTGACACTGGTCAGGAGGTCGGCCGACTGCTCGCTCGACTGGAAGGAGACAAGGATGTCACAGAGGAAGGCAGGCAAGTCTAACTCTGAGAACTTCTGAGGGAACTTGGACTGCCAGCACAAGATCTGCACGACGTGCGCAACCTCCTCGGCGACTTGATAGTTGCTGCGGTACTTGTCCAACAACTTGGCAAGGGACTCCGAGAAGGAGAGAGGGACGTCGATCACTTTGTTGTCTTTGAACAGAGTCGTGATGAACTTTCTTATCACCCGGCATCCCTGGATCTGTATGTCCAAGTCGTCGAAATGCAGCATCATCGCAAACTCGACAACATCTATCCACCTCCGGTCAACTGTCCCATCAGCCTCTACCACCTGGACTGTGCAAGCTTCTTGCAAGAGCCCCTTCTCACGGCAGATCAGATCGTGGAGGGAGGACACAGCAAGGAGGACGTTGTGAACGCAGGTCCTGTGCTCGTAGACGCAGCAGGTAACATTTCGGAGAAGCAGTTTGATCGCTTTTGCGACTTGTCGGGATTGCACATAAAAGTCTCCTCCATTCAAGCTCTCTTGGCAGAGTCTCGAGACATTCTGTAGAGCAGCCTGATCCAACGTGCACTCCGACTGATGGGTTGACAGGTGCTGCACCAGATTGCGGACCTGCACCTCTAGCTCTACCGACATGGTTGGGCCAAGATGAAGGAAAGCCACGGGTTCAACTCAACACGGAGCTTGACGCTGTACACAGCAGCGTGGAAAGGCAGATTCTAAATTCCAAGGATCGGGGACGAGGAAAATTTTCTCCTGGCTGTCAGGCAGTTGAAAGGGTACAGTCTGGGAATGTCGTTCCTAGCAAGTCCACCCATGCCTGCCAACCATCGCAGAGACGAGTCTGTAAGAGCATCTGTCCACGGGCATGTGCATGTCTTTCAACGTTTGCGACTCCGCCATTGCGCCTTCTTGTCTCCCATCGCGTCTGCCTCGTGCCGTCCGAGGAGGCGCTACAGCAGCAAGCAACTGCGCCATGCCCCCTTCCCCACAAAAATGTGTTACAAGTTCATTGTAAAACAATATTACATTTAATCGAAATCCACTATAATTATTAATATATACAAGTATCAACAGTACAAATAGTAACTTAAAATTGATTGAGTTTAAAATACTTGTTCAATGTTTGGCCCGGTGCCCCGGGGCCCGCCGGGCGCTCCGAGGCTCACCGTGGCAATCAGCCCGGCTCCGGGCCCGGGCCAGTGCCACCGACCGTACTACTCAACTCAACGTGTGCCGTGACCGGAGTGTGATGATGATAAACGTGGCCGCAGCTCGAGCTACGAACTCGGGGCTGAAAATCTTATCGGATATTTTCCCGAGTCCCGGCAAATGCCGCCGACTTGTAGGTCAGTGAGCCAGCTACTTATTACTGTTACCGTCTACCGTGCCGGTGAGTCGATCCCGCAGATCTCGGGCCGTGGGGCAGATCGGAAGCACCATGGCGCAGGCGCGGCTAGTCTGGGCTCCGTGGCCATATAAAATGAAGTACCACCTTGGCGCCCCCGAAAATCAGTGGTTTGGAGGCGATCCCCGTCTCCTGTAGGGTGGGGTAGTCCCCAGGGGTGAGAGAAGGGGTGGTTCAGCGGTATTGTTGGCGAGAAGATCTGGTTTTACTCTGTGAAGAAGCCAAGTCCGTGATCTGCTGACGCAAAAGAACATTTCCTGCAGTAGTCAAGCAACTGTTGCTGCACGAAAAGGAGAGGTTTCGGATATTGGGGTCGAGTACTGACTGTCAGCAGGAGGGCAAAGCATCTCTATCTGTTGTGCCGCTCAGGCTTCACTCCCATCATCGTTGCTCCTTGCTCCTTGCTCCTTGCTCCTCTCCATCTGCACTAGTAGACCCTCAAGTCTCTTGCTCAGCTCACACGAACTCGCGTCTTCCTCCAGCTCTTGTACACTCTCGTTGGAAACGCACATGCGCACAGGCGCTGCTAAAATGCAGATCAGCGACCATAGAAGGGGATCCTTCACGATCAAGATGAATGAAGAGTCGATCACCATGACGAGATCATTCTTGATCAGATGTGATGGACCGGCTGGGACATTGCTTTCAAACATCCAGGTTGCAAGAGAAAAATCCCAGAGCAGCCTGGACCACAAAAGTGAGAAAGTTAAAGTCTGAACTCATCGGCGCTAAAAGATATGCTCTGGTTTATTTGATGCCCTCAATCAACCTCTGATACCACTTCTACATGCCTTCTGTTGCATATATCATGTTCTGGACCTCCATTCTGGATACAAGAAAACTGCTTGCGAAAAACTTGCACATGTACATTAGTTACCTCGACAAAGAAAGGAAGCAAAGGAAAGATGACGTAGCTAGCTTTTCTTTGAGAGTTCTCTCATATTTTTCGAAATAAAACTTCAAGGAATGTATTTTTTGATGCGTCTCCTCCACGCTATATCCTCGTTTTGTCCGATTGCCCATCTCGGTTGTGCCGTGCTCGTATCGAAAATGGCTTTCGGTCTGTACGCCATAATCAGTCTCAAACATCAATTCTACAGCCTTCAGTCTTTGGGACCACATATTCTCTTCGATGATCTTTGATGTGCCTCATTTCCTGCTGCTTACGTTGCTTCATCATCAATACCTCCTCCTCCTCCTCCTCCTCCTCCTCCTCCTCCTCCTCCTCCTCCTCCCCTTTCACCACCACCTCCTCGTGCAGTCACGCCTAAGCCCTTGCCTCCCTGTTGTCTTACTGGAACTCGCTCACTCTACCTACCTTGGAAGGATGGTCTGCCAAGATCTTGCCAATGCCGACGACAGCTCGATCCTCTACCGTCATCCTCCTTCCTGCCAGGCTTGTTGGCACAGCACTTCCACCCAAATGGCAGTAAGAGAACTGTCCGCCCCTTCATCTGCCCCCATCCACCGAGCCCCCGATTCTGTTCATGAACAGCATTCCCAACGACCTGACGTCCCCAGCAGTATCAGACTTCACTATGACTGGATGCTGGCAGGATAGCAGGGTGGCGACGACTCCGGTACCGTAGTTAGTTCTGATCCCTTCGACTGGCCCAAAGATGGTCGGCTCAGAGACAGGACCATACTGTGATCCTGGATCAGATCTGGAATCGCTGCTGGCAGGATCGCTGCTGGGATCGCTGCAGGGATCAGATCAGCACCCAGCAGTCGGTCCAGATCATCCGGATCCTGAGTCCAGATCTGGGACTCGGAGGATCTGGGACAGATCCTGGGACAGATCTAGGACAGGATCTAGGACAGGATCTAGGATCAGATCTAGGATCGATGGAACGGGTCGGTTGGGGGATGAGGGTTTCAAGGTACAGTTCCCCGATGGCGGTGGGATCCAGGATGATGCTGATAGCTGCAGCCATGGCGACGATCGGGATAGGAGGGAGCGAGAAGGTGGAGAGATGCAGCAATGTTGTGTGGATGCGTCGGTATCGGTTGCTCAGCCTCTCTGCTCCTTTCCCTCCTCTCTGCATCGTCGCAAAGCAACCCTCCTCCTCTCCTCTCCTCTCCTCTCCTCTCCTCTCCTCTCCTCTCCTCTCCTCTCCTCTCCTCTCCTCTCCTCTCCTCTCCCCTCACTCGCCTCATCCCATGCCATCCACTCTCATAGCTGACTGCTGCTTCTCCCTCGTCTTGACTCGTATCTTGATCCCTTGCACTCAGTGGGTTTGATGTGTAGAACATTCCTTGGATGCCATTTCTGCTGATCGCACTCCTCAGGACAATGTGGACGAAATATCGAGATTGAACGCTCAGGCGCAGGAATACTGGGTTCATGGCATGGTGGACCAAATTCTCTGCACCATGGTTGCTGCGACAGCTGACACATGTTCTGCTGTCAGTACAAGGAGGCTGAGGAGGTCTTCATGAGACTTGCTAGCACTGCAGCGAAGGATCCGAGGTCATACTTCAACGTCGGACTTGCGAAGTGAAGGCGTCCTCTCAACTAGGACCCACGAGCTGATGGGGAGAGCATGGCAGGCACGCGCAAGGGGACATGCTGGGTGCGATCAGCTGGATAGAGAAGGCTCTCAAGCTACCTGGAAGTGACGAACATCACAGGTGAGATAACTCCTTCTAACTAATCCTCCTCTATCCTCCCTCTCTCCTCCTCCCTCCCTC